TCCTAGTTTACAAACCAGGGCTTTCGGCCCAAAGCTGGAAAAAAAAAGCAGTGAGAAGTTTTGCCCCTAACAAGGAACCCCCCCCCCCAACTCTCAACTCCAACCCCTCAGCTGGGGTTCATCGGGGTCACAACCCGCGCCGTCCATTTTGGTAGTTTTTTTTCTTTCCCCGTCCCACCGCCGGCCACTCGGCTTCCGGTCCCGAAGGGGGCGTGGCAGACCCTGGAAAGCAAGGAGCAGCAGCAGCAGCAGCAGCAGCGGCGGCAGCACGCTTTGCATGGCCGGTTGGCGGGAGCCCGTGCTTCTCCCGGGCCCCGCATGGCGTCGGCGAAGGTACTCCGTGCAAGCGGCCCCGGGAAGTGGGGGGGGGGGGAAGAGCGGGCTTCCCTTCCTCCCTTTCCTTGCATTTCTCCCAGGGATTAAAAATGGGGAGGGGGGAGAAGGAGTGAGTGTGTGTCTTCCTTGCAAATTTGCAAGTTTGCAATTTGCAAGTTTGCAATTTGCAACCCCCCACACACACACAAAAATAATGCATCCCGAAGTTGCATTGGGAGGCTTGCCTTTGCGTGCCCTCGTTGCAATGGGAAGATCGAACCGTATCATCCAAAATAATCATTACCATTATTATTATTACGGCGGGTTGCACAGTCAGCCAGATGTTTGGCTGGAGTTTGCACGTCTGGCCACCTGTGGAGCCCTTCCCAAAGACTTGGGAGAGCCAGATGTTGCTTCGTGTCTATTAAAGGTCTGGTTGGGCAGGAGGGCAGCTGTTCCAAGCCCAGCTGCCTTTTGCAATTGGCAGGGTGGCGATTTGGTCAATGCCCATGGCATTAAATGCGTGTTCACAATTATTGTTCTGGTTGGTTGTACAGCCAGCCAGATGTTTAGAGCCTGGGAAGAGGCAGATGTGGGTCTGTTAAATGCCTCCCTGCAGGATTGTCAGCTGTTCCAAGCTGCCTTTTGCAATTGACGGCTGGACATGTTGTCAATGCCCATGATATTAAATGCGTGTTCACAATGATTATTCTGGTGGGTTGTACAGCCGGCCAGATGTTTAGAGCCTGGGAAGAGGCAGATGTGGATCTGTTAAATGCCTCCCTGCAGGATTGTCAGCTGTTCCAAGCCGCCCTTTTGCAATTGACGGGTGGGGTTTTTGTCAATGCCCATCGTGTCCTATTACGCCTAGCCAGCCAGATGGTTACAACTGGATTTGGGGACTTATATCTAATTGACCCAGTCCTTCCCAAAGAACTGAGTCTGGCAGATGTTTCATCACAGACAGATGTTGGCTAAGTCTCCTCCCAGGCTGTTCTAACTCCAGCTGCCTTTTGCAATGGACTTGGCTGATTGGAAAGCTCACCAAAAGGAGATCCCCCCCCCCCAGGACACTGTCGTTAAATAGGACACAGTTTCCGCACGCCTAAACGTTGATTCCGTGAACCGTGGGGTGGGGAAACGGTCTTTTGGCCGTGACGTTCTTTTGAACGGTCACTAATTGGACTGTCGTAAGTGGAGGACTCTATTTGATAGCAATTTTCTTCTCTCCTGCGACGGCTAGGTTCCTCCCCAAGCTATCCCCGAGCACCGGCTGCAACAAGCTCTCGTTTTTAAGGAGGAAGGGAACCGTTGTTACAAAGAAGGCCGCTTTAGGGATGCCGTGAGCCGTTACCACTGGGCCTTACTGCAAATTAAGGGCCTGGACCCCAACATGCCTTCCCCACTGCAGGAATTCATGGCTGACAAGCCAGCCGTGACAGCAGAACAAGAGAATCAACTCCACACCATCCAGTGCGACTGTCACAATAATCTTGCCGGTAATTTCATTTTTTCTNGCCCCCTGGCCCAACGCATTCAGACATGAATTTATCTTTCACGCACGTCCCAAACAAATGTCTCGTTTTTTTCTCCCCCTCTCTCTCTCTCTTTTTCTAGTATTTGGCAGTTCGGGAACTCTTGAAGGAGCGAGACACCATCTTCTTCAGCTCTTTGAAGGAACGGCTGCGTCGAAGCTTAAAGTTGTGAGGAGGCAGATTGGATGAATCCAACGTGGCAGAACCGTGCAGCCATGGGTCTCCGAGCTGGTGGAACATCCAGTCCCCGTTCAGGCTGACGGCGCTGGTCGCTTCCACCTTGCTCAACCTGGAGCCGTGGCCGGGATGTCCGCCCCGTTGCCCAGGCGGCAGGTCAAAATGACCGTCTTCCGGGAAGCCGAAGGTTGCCGGCGCGTCGGAGGAAAAGGCAAGGTTGCGGTTCAAAACGACCGGTGGTAGGAACGTCCCTGCTTTCGCCCGATGGCGAACGGAGGACTTGCTGGAAATTTCCAGCACCGATGTCCATTTCAGCTTGACGGCCTTCCCTCGGTTGGGTTGAAGTTGGCTGGGACACACCAGCCCCGCGGCCGCGTGGACGTTCATTTCTGAACTGGCTCGGGCCCTGCCCACCACGCGGGATGATGGTTTGCGCCGGAGACTCAATCTGCGGAGCAGTTCGCGGGGACTCAACCAGCTTCTCTCGGCTGCCTTCTCGCCTCGCTCGGAAGTTTTTACCAACTCCCGCGAAGCGTGTTTGCCTTTGTAGAGCTTGTCGACGCCAGTCACGTCCCGCGGCAACGATGTCTCCTTCCTCAAAGAGGACTCCGTCTTGATTATCAGTTGGTGGGGCACTGCTGCCCAAATTTTTCTATCCGGCGCGGCAGATGGCTTGTTCAGGACGAGTTTGACCGAAGGATCCCGCGGTGTCGGGAGGGACATAACAGATGACTCGCTAGGTTTAACCAGGTTGGTGGTACTCGATTGAAATGAGTTGATCTCTGGAAATGGCGGGAAGTCCCACAACCCATCCAGGACCCGGGAATCTCGTGCTCCCTCTGAACCTTCAGGAGAACGCAAGTGAGAACAAGTGGAGATCCGCCGTCGGATCTTCCATCCTGGAATCGGACCCAGGATTTGACCAGCCACAGGCCCCGAACTGCAGATGGATGTCATGGATAAACTTTTCTGATTCCCCGCGAGGTATCCCGATTCGGTCCGACTCGCCGCCGTGCGACACCTGTACCGTAGCACCAATTTCGCCATGTATTGATCCAAGCGGATCTTCGGGAGTTCCCCAGAGCAGAGAAGGTCTCTCTTGGGAGAGTCGGATCTGGGAACCTTGGGAGGCGTCTCGTCGAGATCTTCCTGGGACGAGCTTTGAGAGAGGCCGTTGGTGAAGAGAGGGCTCTGTAACGCTACCGCATGGAGAGGACTGGGGTAATGGTACACTTCATTGGTTTTTCGGGAGACCAGATCGGACTTGTACCGTAGAAGCTGGAAATTCGGGGGTCTCGGGAGGGGCAGGGAGCCAAGGCCCAACAGGAACTCGAGGTCACCTATCCCAAGAGACACAATGAAAAAGAACTCGTGAGGTACAGGAATCTACCATTCTGCCTGAGAATTTGGCCGAGTATCTAATACTTCGTCCAGGTGTCTATCCGATTCTTTATCCCTTCGGATTTGTTTCCGAAGATGCTTTTAATGAAAGGAGTGGTGCGGTGGCCTAGAGGTGGAGCTCTCGCCTCACAATCACGAGGCTGCCAGTTCGATCCTAGGTAGAGGCAGATATTTCTCTCTCTGGATACAATAAGAATATACTGTATCTGCTGGACAAAACTCCGCATTGGAGACACGAAAGGCATCCGGCCATTCAAACACTCTGCTAGCTCCATTCAAGTGCCCAGACTCCACCCCGTAAGGGATTATGGGGTTGTTAAAAGAAGATGATGATGGTTTTAATGAAACAGAAATGGGGAATCAGTAGCTCCAAAACACACTTAGGGATAGGACATCTACCTACCCACTTAGAACATTCTTTCTATAGAGTGTCCTTGACGCACAACAGCTTTGTTTAGTGATGGTTTGAAGTTACAACGGCACTGAAAAACGTGACTTATGACTATGTTTCACACTTGTGTCCATCACAACATCCCCGGGATCAAAATTCAGACGCTTGGCAACTGCGAGTCACAGCGTCCTGGGGTGATTATTGCAAAAGCACAAATAGAATACAATAGCAGAGTTGGAAGGGACCTTGGAGGTCTTCTAGTCCAACCCCCTGCTTAGGCAGGAAACCCTATTCCATTTCAGGCAAATAGCTGTCCAATCTCTTCTTTAAAACTTCCAGTGTTGGGGCATTCGCAACTTCTGGAGGCAACTTCTGTTCCACTGATTAATTGTTCTCACTGTCAGGAAATTTCT